TGTTTAATCTTTAATGGACAAGATGATGCCAAGTGCTGCAAGTCAAAGCACGTTTGCTTAATGCTCCTCAGCCCCGGCGTGCGGCGGGTGACATCCCTGTCCCCGGGGCTTCACGCACGGCCGTGAACCCTTGCAGGCCGGTAATCTCCCCTTGTACCAACCATCATCTTCCTCCGGTGGAGAACAGGGAGCAGGATCGCTGCCTACTTTTTTGGGGGGGTGATTTGCAATCCATTAGCATCCCAGCTGGCTCTTCTGCAAGGGGCAGAGTGCCTCCTCGAACAGCAAATGCCTTAGATCCTGGAAAATGATGAAAATCAGCCCTGTGCCGATTAGGGGGGTCCTGGTCCCTTTTTCCCCCCTCCCTCCTTGTATTTGCACCCCAAAATACCATCCTGGCCCCGGCTTGGAAAAGTGAGTGCCAGAAAGCGGTGGAGGAATTGGTGTGAATTATGTATGAGCCCCGCTAATCATGGGCTGATTAAAATGACGGTGTGTTAATATTATCTCTCCCCATCGCCTCCGCCGAGGGGGATGTGTCAGCACCTGAAGGATTGGGGGGACACGGCAGGGGCAGATGGGGCAGCTGCGTCCCCATGCGTCCTCTCCTCCAGTTCCATCCCGAGGCATCGCTCCGCTCTGATCCCTGGAAACGCTGTTGCTGCTCCAAATTGCCGTCCCCAAGTGCAAGGATGGGGACAGGCTGAACCTTGGGGACATGTCCCGAAGGGGTAAAGCCCATCATTGGTTTGAGGTTAACTTTTTGGGAAGGGCTGGGAGGTGAGAAATCAGGGAATGGGAGCGCCAGTCGATATTAATAATTTAATGTTTAATTTAAATGTAGGTTAATAAAACATCAGGCATGTGGGGAAGATGTGGAGGGGTTGCTTTGCAGTGGCTGGGACATGCTGAAAGGCTTCATCACCCCGAGGTTTTCAAGGGCACCCAGGGGTGCTGCGGTGGGTTGCCCTTGGGCGGCTGCCAGCCGCCCACCCAGCCACTCTCTCGCTCCCTCTCCTCAACAGGACAGGGGGGACCTCAGCCTTTCTGGGGGGTTCAGCAACACATGCTGCATCCCGAGAGATTTCCATGGAGTGATTCGCTGCTCTCACATGCAAAAATCCCCGATGGGATGCTCAAATGGGGCAGAAATGGGGCTTTCTACCAGCGCCTCGGTGGAAGCATCCAGCCGTGTCCTCTGCTTGCACGGCCAGGGTGAAACCTGCCTCCTCCCTCGCAGCTATTTTGTAATTGAAAGCGCTGAGCATGTTACAATGTGCTCCTTTTATTAATGTGTCACTCCTGATTTAAAAGGACATTTCATTTATCTCTCCCTTCCCCCTCCCTCTTTTTTTTTCTTCCTTAAACTGGATGTCGCAAGAATTCCCACTGCTCGCTAGCAAAAATCGCATCTCTCCAGGGACGCGATCTAATCAGAGGACTGAATTTCCATAGGTCAGAATCTAATCAGAGGGTGGCCCGGCACAGCTTTCGCTACGAAATATGTCTTATTTAAAAAGAGCAAAGGGGAAGGAGAGGAGCCTCGGGGATCAGAGCTGCCTTTGGGATGCTGATAACATGGAGGATGATGATGTTGGGCTGGGCTCCTCTTTTGCAGGTGCAAATCTGATGCTCAGCCCTGTTTAAATAGTCCTTAAAATTCAACAATACCTGTCACCGCTGGTTTCTTCTCCCCAGTAAATCCAAAAAAGGGACCAAACCGGGGATTTTGAGGACCGGTGACACTTTGCTGTCCTCCGCTGTTGGAAAGCAAAGGGAAGGGGGGGACAGGGGAGGAGATTTGCACGTCAACCACAGCAAAACAGCAGGTTTTGGACGGCTCCATCTGGATTCCTGCTTTATTTTTCAGTGCCTGGCTTTATTTCCCCTGCTTTTCCCCCTCCCCTACAAACATCCTTAGCATTTTGGGGGCTGGCTCCTCCGGGGACTGTGCGTCTGTTTCTCTCTGCTCTCCCTCTTGCTCGTGCTCTTTCCCTCCTTCTTTTCCCCATCTTCTGGGGTGATTTTGCTCTGAATTTGGGCAGCTGATGCTCTTCGAGTGGGTGGGTTTTCGCCTTCCTTCACCTTCCAGGCATCGCTGGGGCTCCGGCATCAGTCCTCTGCAGGGTCCCCGTCTCCGCCGGCACCGGTGCAATAAATCACCGAGCTCCAGAGCTTTGGCTTTGCCGTGCAGGAACTGCTCTGGAGGAGAAGTGCAGGAGCACCCCATGGTTACACTCCACTATTTTTAAGGACCAGATATCCTCCCAGCACAGCCAAGCCCAAATTACCGGGCATAGAGGTGGGAGTTGGTGGGCTGCAGCCCCATTGCCATCTCAAAGTGGTTTTGCAGCACGTGGAGGGAGCAGAGCAAAAATAAAACCCCCAATTTGGCTTTTTTGAGCTGTCTGGAAGAGGCAGGTTGGGGATGTGTTTGCAGGGGGATTTGCTCAGGTAAATGCTTGTGCCAATGCAATCGCTGCATGTGAGTGCAGGTGGGTGGCTGGGGCCACTCCAAGCTTGGCCATTTTTGACTTTAAAAAGCCACCAACTATCAGGAGATGGTCTAAGCACCACCAAAACGCCTGGCTGGACTGGGATGGGGGTGCTCTGGCTTCCCATTGCCGTGCAAAGGGTCTGAAAGGCAATGCCACGGGAAGAGGGATGGAAAACCATCCAGAGATGCTGAGGTTACAAGCCAGGAACTCCTGTATCTCAATAATTCACGGGCACGAGGGAAAATGCAATCTTAGCTCTGCCTTTGCCACCCATCGGTTCTGCCGCTGGCTTTATTTAATCGCCCTGTTGATCCATGCCGGGGGCAGGAGGGAGATTTAATCTCGCCTGGCAGCTCCCAACGCTGGTTGATGAACAGGCAGAGCTTTTCCGCACACGTGGAGGCTCCGTCCCCGGCACAGATCCATCCCCGATTTCCTTTGGGCAGATGCCACCGTGCTGCAAAACGTTTGCTCATCCCCCTCCCTTCGCTTTCGTACCTGTTGCTCATCTCAGTTTTGGAAATGTCAAAAGCAAAGCCGGGGGAATTGGGGCACCCGCTGCGAGACCTCGCCTGACCTTCCTCACATCCCTCCTCCTCCCTCTCCCATCGTTGCCTCTCTATGTCTGTGGAGCCCCGAATTCGAGGGGACCGCATGCTGCATTGGCAGCCGCAAGGAATTAATCCCCGCTTTAACGTGCTAAAATAAACCCTGTCCAGGCGAGGAGAGAGGCTGGAAAGAAGCCGGCCCCGAATGAGCGTGGCTGCTGGCGGCGATTTGGGTCGCCGTCAGTAAGGAGAGGGGCGTCGGGCTGGGGTTGCAAAGGTGCAATATTAAAACCCATCTTGCTGTGCACCATTGCAGGGCTGAAAGCAGCTCTTAATTTAGCCCCCATCCCTGCTCGGCGCTGCTGTCTCCCGTGCACCCGCTGTGCAGTGCTGCAAAGCACTCTCCAGCAGTCACCACCACCAACAAAACCCCCGCTTTTTTCCCAAATTTCCTTGCATCCAGCTGATTGCAGCGGCAAACCCGCTTTTGCAGCCCCCCCAAAAGCAGTGCAAAGAGGGTTTCTTGAATTTTACAGCCCCATGCTCAATATGCCAGGCCACGCTGGCTTGCTGTTGCAGCAGGCACGTGTGCATGCAGCGTGCTTTCCCGCAGGTCACGGTTGAGATTTATTGCAAAACCACCGGCAACTTGTTTCACCAGTGATGCGAGCCTCGAATCGCTGGCTGTGGGACATACAAAATCACCTTCCCTTCTTTCAGGGGATCTTCTGCAAAGGTGTCTCGGTTTCTGCAGCACCGTTTCCAAACCTGCTCCCGTTTTTCAGGTGCTCTGGGGTTTTTCAGCATTGCTTTTCCACCTCATGCAAGCAATAGTTTAAAAAAAAAAAAAAAAAAGGATTTTTTGCAGGGGGTTAAGGGGTTGTTTGGGG